AAAACTACAATTATTTACCAATCATTTTATCAGTAATCATGTAGGCTAATTAATATTATCATTTTGATTAAAATATAACGCAATAAAAATGGTTAAATTTAGATATTAATATAATTAGTAAAATTATGGAAAACTATAATTATTTACCAAAATTTTTTCAATAATCTAGTAGGCCTATTAAAATTATTATTTTTATTATAATGTAACTCAATTAAAATTAGTTAATTTTACATGTTAGATTGTCAGTAAAGGTTACTGGGCCTATATAAGCTAGACTACTTGATTATTGATGAAATGTTTGGTAAATAATTATAGAATAATCTTTCATTTCATTTTCCAATTATAATATGTGAGGGAATTTAGCATTCCTATATCATATAAAACTTTTGAAACCTATTTTTCATGTATTTGTGAAAGATGCAAGCAGTTTCATGAAGGCGCATCAACTTTCGACATTCCACGTCTCATCTTTGAAATATTGAACAAAATAAACAATGTCTAAAAACAACTTCTTTATTTAATATGTTCTCTGGTGGGTATTGGACATTTGGAAACTGTAATCCCCTCTTCAATACCTTTCCAATGATATATTACAACCCATACTTTGAGCACCGAATAAATGACACCCGATTGTGACGGAATCTGGCATGTCGGCCATCTTGGATTCTAAGATGTCCGCCATTTTTCTTTGAAGTCATGAAGTAGATCAAACTTACTTTATGGAGTGCAGAATGAAGCATTTTTAACAGCCGTGTAGTGTCATTTGATGCTGACCTCATAATTGCAGTACATTTTAATGGCTGTTTTAACCGCAATCCAAGATGGCCACCATCTCACGGAACGCGTATGTTGCAGAGGCATTTTGACGACAGAATTGAATTTGTCGTCCATTTTTCATCTGGGTGTCAAAATTTCAACTTATTATTGCTTTTGATATTACCAGAGTTATTGTAGGATCTTTAAAAGACTATTTTAGCCTCAAAAAGCCCTATTTCGAGGGCGTGTTTTGCCTATAGATAAGTCTATTACTTTTTGTCAGAAAAATGTTGCCATCTGCGATGAGAAAAATGTTCATAGAAAACTTATTTATTAACCGATTTTGAAAATTTAAAAAGTTTCTTCATGTTTGAAACAGGCTGCATGCATTAAAACAGAGAAAAACACATCATCTGTTATTTGAAATTTTGATGTGGTAATGCTAATAGAGGTCATAATTTTTATCCGATTTAAAAAAACGTATTATTATGTCACCGTTACACCCTAAGGACGACTGAGTTCGAATTTTGTGAAAATCGGCCCAAAATTGACAGACAAAATGGCCGCCGTTCGTTCTCAAATAGCGTAAAAATATGGTTGTGGACCCTATAGAGGTCACAGTTTTGATCCGATTTTGATGAAACTTGAAATTCATATTTATAACCCAAAAATCTTGGTTCCTTTCGATATACGCCCTTGATTATACGAAAAGTCGCGTTTTTAGGATGTGATCTCTCTAGATGTCACAATTTTTATCCGATTTTAAAAAACGTTTGAATATATCCCTGTCAAACCCTTATGATGGTTGAGTCCGAATTTCGTACAAATCGGACCAAAACTGCCGGACAAAATGGCTGCCCCTCGTACGCAAATCTTGTAAATATATTGTATGTCAAGGTTTTGGACCCTGTAGAGAGTGGACACAATTTTGATTCGATTTTGATGTAACTTGAAATACATGTTTATAACCCAAAGCTCTTGGTTCCTTTCAATATTCATGCATATCGGATTGTAACTTCCTGAATTATGGCCCTTGATTGTACGAAAAAATCACTTCTTTTTTTGAGCTTGTTCTCTGTCCATCTCTTGCAAAATGTGGGCGTATCTTGCATGGCAACCGCTTGTTCTGAAATAATATCAAGTGTTCCAGAATTTGTCCATACTATTGTTCACAAAGCAGTAACTTCAGTAATACAAAGACCTTGAGATACATGAACATGTAATTTATCTAAGTAGGTGCCATTCATCTTGGAAATGCTTAAAAGTACTGTTGAATTTAAGCTGAACTCCCCTTAATTGCGCATTTGCCATGAGAATGTTAATTAATTGTTTATATTTCTGATGTAGCACATAGCTTTAACACTAATATTTGTGTTTGTAATGCTCCGTGTTTAATATAACTATGTGTTTAATATAACTATCGGTTTTATTCTGGCACATGTTTTAGTAATGAGTCATAATAAAATTCTGGCAGCTGATTAGTAACATTGAGTTCATATGTTATTGAATTATTTACAATAACACCTGCTGGTGGTTTTATTCTTAAAATAACTTCAAATATTGTTTAATTTAATTTAAAGGGGCCTTACTTTCAACAAGAAATCAATTTATTTTTTTCAAAATAGCTCTTGAGATAAATTTTCATAATTAGTTTCTAAAAGAAACGGGATACTCACTGTGTGTACTAAGTTTATTCAAATTTTGACTTAGTAGCATTCATTAAGTGTCAATTCTAAAACATTTTGCACTGTGTTTACCAGACTACTTAATATAAAATATGTATGACTTTTAAATTGAGCCCCAAGTCATATATGTCTGCAATGAATTATATTTTGCTCACTCTGTAACTTGAACATGCCATATTGTACAGTGGAATCAAAATCTTCCTGATCATCATTGATTTACATACTGAGAGTCCCTCTTTAAAAAAAACAGTTTAGAATTAGTTTTCATTATACGCCCACATTTTCATGTGGACGTATTATGCCGTCGCCCCTGTCCGTCCGGACTTCTGGACGTCCGTCCGTCCGTCCACAATTTGTTTGTGGACACTCTAGAGGTTACAATTCTTATCTGATTTTGACGAAACTTGAAATATAGGTTTATCTCCAAAAGATCTCGGCTGCTTTAGATATTGGCATGTATCGGATCGAAACTTCATGGATTATGGCCCCTGTCTGTACGAAAAATCACGTTTTTAGCTTGTGGACCCTATAGAGGTCACAATTTTTATCCGATTTTGTTGAAACTTGAAATGTAAGTTTATAACCGAAAGATCTCAGTTCCTTTCGATATTCGCGCGTATCGGACCATAACTTCCTGAATTATGGCCCCTGATTGTACGAAAAATTGCGTTTTTAGCTTGTGGACCCTATAGAAGTCATAATTTTTATCCGATTTAAAAAACCGTTTTATTACATCACCGTTACACACTAAGAATGGCTGAGTTTGAATTTCGTGAAAATTGGCCCAAAATTGACAGACAAAATGGCCGCCGTTCGTTCTCAAATAGCGTAAAAATATGGTATATCAAGGTTGTGGACCCTATAGAGGTCACAATTTTTATCCGATTTTGTTGAAACTTGAAATGTAAGTTTATAACCCAAATATCTCGGTTCCTTTCAATATTCGCGCATATTAGACCGTAACTTCCTGAATTATGGCCCCTGATTGTACAGAAAATCGCGTTTTTAGCTTGTGGACCCTATAGAGGTCATAATTTTTATCCGATTTAAAAAGACGTATTATTATATCACCGTTACACCCTAAGGACGAATGAGTTCGAATTTCATGAAAATCGGCCCAAAATTGACAGACAAAATGGCCGCCGTTCATTCTCAAATAGTGTAAAAATATGGTATATCAAGGTTGTGGACCTTATAGAGGTCACAATTTTTATCCGATTTTGTTGAAACTTGAAATGTAAGTTTATAACCCACAGATCTCGGTTCCTTTCGATATTCGCCCATATCGGACCGTAACTTCCTGAATTATGGCCCCTGATTGTACGAAAAATCATGTTTTTAGCTTGTGGACCCTATAGAGGTCATAATTTTTATCCGATTTAAAAAACCGTATTATTATATCACCGTTAAACCCTAAGGACGGTTGAGTTTGAATTTCGTGAAAATCGGCCCAAAACTGAAAGACAAAATGGCCGCCTTTCATTTTCAAATATCGTAAAAATATGGTATATCAAGGTAGTGGACCCTATAGCGGTCACAATTTTTATCAGATTTTGTTGAAACTTGAAATGTAAGTTTATAACACAAAGATCTTGTGAACCCTATAGAGGTCATAATTTTTATCCGATTTAAAAAAACGTGTTAATATATAACCGTTACACCCTAAGGACGACTTAGTTTGAATTACATGAAAATCAGCCCAAAACTGACAGACATAATGGCCACCTTCGTTCTCAAATAGCGTAAAAATATGGTATATCAAGGTTGTGGACCCTATAGAAGTTACAATTTTTATCCGATTTTGTTGAAACTTGAAATGTAAGTTTATAACCCAAAGATCTTAGTTCCTTTCGATATTCGCGCATATTGTACTGTAACTTCCTGAATTATGGCCCCTGATTATACGAAAAATCGCGTTTTTAGCTTGTGGACCCTATAGAGGTCATAATTTTTATCCGATTTAAAAAAAACTATTATTATATCACCGTTACGCCCCTCGTTCTCAAATTGTGTAAAAATATGGTATATCAAGGTTGTGGAGCCTATAGAGGTCACAATTTTTATCCAATTTTGTTGAAACTTGAAATGTAAGTTTATAACCCTAAGATCTCGGTTCCTTTCGATATTTGCGCATATCGAATTGTAATTTCCTGAATTATGGCTCTTGATTGTAGGAAAAATCACTTTGGTTTTAGCTTGTTTTCTATCCATTACTCGAAAATGTGGGCGTATCCTGCCTGGCAGCCGCTGGTTTTGTTTTTTATAGTTCAAAATTTCGTTTTTACTTGTCATCACAACACTAGGATCTGGAAGAATTGTTATATAACAGATGTTCTAGTTGATGTGAGGAATTAGCCAATGAAATGGTGTTTACGGCGAGCTCTTGGCGTGCTCTGCACGGAACTGTGGGTAAACCCATAGAAACGTCAACGCTGATATATTAATCAATGTCATAGGGTCAAAAGCCGCTTGTATGACCTGGCCCGACCTCCCAGTACAACTGGTCAGATCTTCATGTGGTTGAAATGTTGGAAGTTTAATTTTGCTGTATAATTTCAGAACAAAACAAAGTGTACAGGCCATGGAAATCTGTCGCCGACCACGAACTAGTGTATATGACATGAACCAAAATAGTAGTAGTATGATGACAAATGTTGTTCCTTCTAGTAATGGCAACTTTACTGTTACCTTTAACAATCAAATTAATGCCCTTCATACACAGGTAACACTCCCATATTTTATCATTTATTACAATTTAAATTAACAAGAATTTGATCAAATTTGTTATTATTTGAATAGACTACAACTGATACACAGAACAAGTAAGCTTATTTAACTAAAGATGCATTATGTAAGATTTAGGTAAAGAGTTGGCCCTTCTTGCTCGAAAATTTAATTGCGGCCATTGCCGGGGGTAGCCCTTTCAATAGGCCGCTGTGCCCTCAAAATCTTCACTTTATCCCACGACCGGACATCTTAGCAGGGGTGCCCCTTCCTGATCCAGAAAATAAAAAGTCTACCTGAGCCACAGATCTGGCCAATTACATATCGTTTTCTCCCCCCGTTCACATCGCCATACTAATTAACAATGCAGAAACAATGTATACCAGTAAACATGCTCAGAAAGTTCTACAATATCGCCGCATGAATAGTCTTGGAATATAATAGAGAACTGCATTCGGCCAACCTCAGTACATCTAATAATGTAGGGTACCGGAATATGCCGAGATTGGCTGAATTTGAAGAACTTGTTGAAACGCGTGCGCATTCGCTACGTGAATTAGATACGGAAAATTTTCCGAACGGTGTACTGTTTGTTGTTATTTTTGTATATTACAATAATACAGGATTCTCCGAAACAAATTACCAAGAATTCGCCCCTGTCGTCCGTCCGTCCATTGTTCACAATTTCTTGTGAACGCTCTAACTCCAAAAGTTATTATCCAATTGTTTTAAAATTGATATATGTGGTTTATATTAGTGAGTGAGATGAAGAAGCCTATTTTATTTCAATAATTTCTGTTCATTATGTCTAGAGTTATGGCCCTTGTCTCACTTTATTGAACCTTGTGAACGCTATTACTCCAAAAGTTATAATCCGATCTTTATGAAATTTATATGCCTATTGAATTTCAGCAATTTCCGTTTATTACGTCTAAGAGTTGATCCCCTTGTTTCACTTTATTGAACCTTGTGAACGCCAAAAGTAATCACTCGATCTTTGTGAAATTTATATGCATGATTTAAATTAGTGAAACGAAGAAGCCAATTGAATTTCAGCAATTTCCATCAATTACTTCTAGTTTTATGGCCGTTGTTTCTCTTTTGCACCTTGGGAACGGCCTAACATCAAAAGTTATCTGCTGATCTGTATGAAATTTACATGCGTCATTTAAATTAGTAAAGAGAAGAATCCTATTGAATTTCAGCGATTTCTGTATATTACTTCTAGAGTTATGGCCCATGTTTCACTTTGTTGCACTTTGTGAACGCTCTAACCTCTAAAGTTAACTGCCGATCTGTATGAAATTTATATGTGCCATTTAAGTTAGTAAAAAGAGCATTTAATCCTGTTGAATTTCAACAATTTCCGTTTATTACATCTAGAATTACGGTACATTTCACTTTATTGAACCTTGTGAACGCTCTAACGCCGAAAGTTATCACCCGATCTTTGTGAAATTTATATGCGTTATTGTCCCCCGCCTTTCGAAGAAAGCAGGGGACTATTTAAATGGGTTCGTCTGTCTGTCTGTCCGTCCGTCTGTCTGTCCGTCACACATTTTGGGACACAATAACTCTCTTTCTAATTGAACTAGAATGTTCAAACTTGGTGTAGGTGTTTATTAGGTCAATGCCTCAATTGAGTTCTAAGATGAGCATTTTCTGCTTAGGGTAAGCAGAGATAAGCAATTTGATTGGTTGATGCTTTGGGACACGATAACTTTAGTTCTAATTAAGTGAGAGTGATGAAACTTGGTGTATAGTTTCATTACATGATTGGTCGATACTTTGGAACACAAAAACTCTCCTTCTAGTTGAGGTAGAATGTTCAAACTTGGTGTAGGTGTTCATAAGGTGAATGCCTTGATGGAGTACGATGATAAAGATTGTCTGCTTACGGTAAACAGAGATAAGCAATCTGATTGGTTGATGCTTTAGGGCCAATAACTTTGGTTTTAATTAAGTGAGAGTGATGAAACTCTGAGTATAGATTCATTATTTCATTACCTTGACTAAGTTTGATGATGAGAATTTTCTGCTTAGGCTAAGGATCGATAAGCAATTTGATTGGTCAAGACTTTGGAACATAACAACTCTGCTTTTACACTGAGGTAGAATGTTTAAACTTGATGTTGATGTTCATTAGGTGAATGTCTTGACTGAGTTCAGTGATTAACATTTCGAGCTAAAGGTAAACAGAGCTAAGGAATTTTATTGGTCGAAGCTTTGGGATCAGATAACTTTGATGCTATCTGATAGAGAGTGATGAAACTTGGTGTATAGTTGATAATCGGTTTGATTGCTTGATACTTTTGAAAAAAAATAAATGTGCGATTAATTTATGTGTCATCTATTTATTTTGAGATTTCGGCGGGGGACATCAGCCTTACTGTTGGCTTGTTTAAATTAGTGAAACTACGAAGCCTATTGAATTTCAGCAAATTACAATAATTACTTCTAGAGTTATGGCCCTTGTTTCACTTTGTTCAACCTTGTTATTGCTCGATTGATGAAAGTTATCAACACGTCTATTAAATTTCAACAATTTCCGTCAATTATTTCTAGAGTTATGGCCCTTGTTTTACTTTGTGAAACTTTTGAACGTTTGAATGAAAAAAGTGATCATCCGATCTGTATGAAATTTATATGCATTATTTAAATTACTCAAACGAAAAAGTCTGTAGATTACTTCCAGAGTTGAGGCCCTTGTTTCAGTTTGTATAACCTTGTGAACCCTCAAACGACAAAAATTATAATCTGATCTGTATGGAACTGTCTTGTAAAGGCCCCCAATTACCTACAATGGAATAAATATGCGACAACCCTTGAGACGATTTAGCTGCTGTGGGCATATGTTTCAAAAGGAATGGAAGCTTGCAATTACTCTTTCCTACCGGGACCTCATTTGACCCAATTCTGACGCGTTCGTTTCAAATTGGACTAGAACTGCGATGAAGTAATGACAGGTTTTACTGGTGCCCCATTACCCTGGAACTTATGTCTCTTCCGGTGTCACGTTATCCACATAAGCATTGCACACATGTAATAAAATGGACGCAGAATCAACCAAATCCAGCAATATCTTTTCCATTTATACATTTGTTACCATGTGTTACATATGTCAAAAAAATGATCCTGACAAAACTTATTAACTTAACGCTAAGATAGCTGACTTTCTAATTGAAAATTAAAATGCGAAATCTTTTTTTCAAAAAGTGTTCCTGCCAAAATTGGTTATTTCCCAACAAGGGAAGGTGCTAGAAGCAATTTTTGGACATCTATATGAACGTATTGATTCAATCTATTATCTATATGTCCATTGGAGTCAAATATAATAATAATGTTAAATGAATAATAAATATAACTCACTTAACAAAAATGTTTGTTTTGAAGGCTAAAAATACAGTTTTTGCCAAAATGACATTACTTCCGGTGATAATGAAAATGTTGAATTAGTTCCATGAAATCATAAATGGTATAAGCTATCACATGGTGAAAATGTATGAAAATCGAATGATAATGGCCACTTTTATAGACCAAAAACCTTGAAAAGTGACCTGTAGAAAATCGTGTATTTCTCTGCAACCATAGAAGTTAGAAACCATTTTGTGGTATCTGTATGATTGTATGGGTTCATTCTATTTGTTGATTGATGTCAGCTATCCAAACATATAAGTCAAATTTCAAAATTCCAAAAAATAACAATTCATGAATGGCATTAGGCATCACATGGTGAAAAATAATTGACACTTTTATAGACCAAAAACCTTGAAAAGTGACCTGTAGAAAATTGTCTATTTCTCTGCAACCGTACAAGTTAGAAACCATTTTGTGGTATGTGTATGATCGTATGGGTTCATTCTATTTGTTGATAGGAAGCAAATATCAACATTTTGAAAACATTACAAATGAAATTCATTTGAATAAAATATCTGTTTTAAAAGCTAAAAATACAGTTTTTGTCCGGTGACATTGAAAATGTAAAATTGGATCTGGCCAGTCAGAAATGGCATTACGCATCACATGGTGAAACTAAATAGAAAATCGGATTATAATTAACTCGTATACAGGGAAAATAACATGAAAAGTGACTCCTGCAAAATTGCCTATTTCTTGACAACAGCCAATATTACAAACTAATTTTGACATACATCTCCATTTTATGGATTAATGCTACAGGTTCATGAAAGTTGTCAAGAAATATTTTAAAATATACTATTCAAAAAAAGTAGGGGATATTTGATTTTGGGGGCATAATACTAAAATATGCAAATGACTACGAAAAATGTCACTATAGAACCTAACAGAAGAAACATTTCCAGTTACATGTGACGCCCAAACGCACCAATAGCTACCGCATGGAATGCAGGTGATGCTTGGGATCATCATGGGGGTCCAACCCAAGATTTGCACGACTCTGACTTTGAATGTTACAGTCATTGTGGCATTGAATTCCAGGGTGGAAACATCAGTTTAATTGTTTTAGTGACCAGAAAACAAATTTTGATATGCGTCGGCTTACCCAAAATGAAAGGTTACGTGCCCTTGGCATGCTACAGATCGGCACAACACAGGCGGTTGTGGCGCGGACGATGAATGTTTCTCAGTCTGTCATAAGCAGGCTATGGTCCAGATACCGTGATACACAATCTGTACAGGACAGACCACGCTTAGGTCGACCAAGGGCGACAACTCAAGCCCAGGATCGATTTATCCGTACCTTGGCCTTGAGAAATCGTGTCATCACAGCAAATCAGATCAGCGCTCGTCTTCAAACAGACACTGGTGTGAGAGTGAGTGGCCAGACGATTCGGAATCGACTGCATAGGGGTCACCTTCGCGCCCGACGTCCTCGCGTGATCCCTTGTTTGAGAGATCATCACATTCAGGCAAGACGTCGTTGGTGTAGGGATCGTCAACACTGGGATAATCGACGCTGGAGCAATGTGATGTTTTCAGATGAGTCAAGGTTCACTGTTGATTTTTTGGACAGACGTA